TTTCCCTTTTTCTCTCTCTAAAATCAATAAAAAATTCTTAACTAAATAAATAAGCTTTTCTTAAAAAAAAAAGTACAAACTGATTTATACCCCGATGAGGGCATTGTTTGCATGTGAGGAAATGTTGAAAGCAGAAACTGTAAAGCTAAATTCCAATTAATGAAGGTAAAGAGGGTCAAAAATTGTTACTGCTCCAGGTGAAGCTTAGTTTTACCACTGACTGTACTCTATCATTCATATTGCAATTAATAGCTGAAAGTTAAAACTTCACAGAACAAGTTCTCAAAAGGAACACTGGTTATTAAGACTCAGATATTAAGTAATTCCTTCCATTTCCTTGTTTTAGGGAGTAAAAATATTAGGGAAAGGCAAGGGGAGTGAGAGATTAAAAAGTAAATATTGTAAAATTCCACTTGGAGTATTTTTTAAAGGGAAGCTACTTTTATTTAAGTGAACTTTAATATATGCACAAAAATAAACTGAAGCAAGGTAAACAGCATTTTAATTTTTAAATAAACACATATATATCTAAATCATCATTCCCTACCAAAAATAAAAAGCAGGGTAGAAAGTAGCTGGTAGTTTTAGGAATTAAAGTACTAAATCATAGAAAAAACTGATAGTTTTTAATATTATCCACAAAATGTCTACCTTTCTTTTTCTTTTTTATCCTCACTCGAGGACATTTTTCCATTTTTTGCTCAGATAGAGTGGGAGGGAAAGAGAGGGAGAGAGAGAGAGAGAAACATCGATGTGAAAGCGACACATCAAGTGGCTGCCACCTGCACGACCAACCAGGGCCGGGGACAAACTGCAACCGAGGTACATGCCCTTAGCAGGAACCAAACCCGGGTCTCTCTGGACTGCAGGCCGACGCTCTAACCACTGAGAAAACCGGCCAGGGCCAAAATGTCTACCTTTCAATAGCTACACTTAACACCTATAATACATTCACTTAATAAAACCAGAGTTCACAATATTTTCTTAGATCAACTCAAATACCATGGATCACAGGCATTCGGACAGTGAGGTAAATATCTTGAAAACAGGAGACGTACAAGTCTATACTGACTTATTCCATGATAGAAACAGTATTTCCTGCATTGGATTTTGAACAAAAAAGTATTTTCAAAGAAAGGATGTGCAATTTCATTACCAATATCAAGGCCTACAGTTTTGTAACTATACTACCACTTTAATCTTTGGATGGCATGGCCTGTGCAGAATTTTCTTTCAAGTTCAAGATGGATAGCTTTATGTCAAAAATACCCTTAGGAGGGAATGACCTTTAAAATATATGTATAAAATTACCTTACTTCCTTTGTGCGATAAATGATGATCTTGGAATTTTCTGGAAAAAAATGCAAACAAATATACAATATACACCATAAATAAATCATAAAACTGGATGGTTTTTCACATTAAAAACTTAACCAGCCCTGGCCAGTTTGGCTCAGCAGTTAGAGCATCGGCCTGCAGACCAAGGAGTCCCAGGTTTGATTTTGGCCAAGGGCACATGCCTCAGTTGCGGTTTGTCCCTGGCAATGGTTGTTGTTGTGTGGGTGGCAGCCAATCGGTGTGTCTCTCTCATATTGATGTTTCTCTCCCTCTCTCCCTCCCACTCTGTCTGAAAATAAATGTAAAAATATCCTTGGGTGAGGATTAAAAAATAAACAACAAAAAAATGTAATAAAAAAGTTAATACAACTTTTAAAGTACGTACCAGCTTTTAAAATCTCAAATCTGTACCAAACATGAAAGCCAGCGTGTTTCTACATTAAAACCCTCGTCAGGTCATCAACAACATTCATGGTATTCTGTACTGCCATGGGGAAAAAAAGTTGGAAGTATTTGTTGTTGCTTTCAAAAATATTCAAAGGTATAGAAATAGACCCAACTAAAGATCATCCTTTCAGTATTAAAGGATTTTAGAGAGTTGCTACTTAACATTAGGAGACAGCTCTTGTTCTAGAACATAGTACAAAATTTCTAGTTCTGCTCTCATTTCTACAAGGTTAGGTAGGCATCAGAGAGGAAGGGAGGTTAGAAAAAAACAGAATGCATAAAATTCCAGATATAAGAAAATGACATAGGAGCCTACATATATTACTATCACTGCTATCAGGAGCATCTGATTACATGCTAACATAGCCCTTCAAAGACTCTTGGGCCCCTAGGTATCCTTTACAACACGTAAGTTTGAGAGGCATGTACCAAATTAGGTTTATTTTGATACCTGCAATCTTTCTAGGGTCAGTCCAGCTCTAAAATACAGTGACTTTAGCAAATTTAATGAGATATCTACTTCCGGTCATAAGATAGTCTTTTAAAAATCTGGGATACACTGGCATTTATATGATCTTTACCCTTGTCTGTGGAAAATAGGCAACAGAGATTCATCCAATTTATAGCTTAAATGATTGAATTATTTAAACTAAAGACTCTAAAATAGAAATTTTAATACTTATACCAAAAATGTCTGGTGGGTCTGCATACTACCACTTTATCTTATGCAATGTACACCATTATGTGATGAAAATCAGTTTATTAATCTTTAACTTTCACTTTAGTGTTAAAAACAATAAATAGGGAGGCTAAATGGAATAGACGAACATCTTTAAGATAGGTCAGTAGAGCATGTAAGTTAACATGTAACCCGGTTTTATTCTGATTTCTGCATTTTATGCACCAAGTCTATTTATATGTTACTTTTTCTACTAAAAAAAAAAAAGCATAATTTCCTTTTCACTGTTTGTTTTTGAATAATCCTGTAATGGTCAAATGAATCTTAAAGCACATAAAAGAAAACTTAGGATCTATCTCAAATTCTGAAATGGATATTACACTGAAGAGAGAGATATATGATCTAGAGGTAATTCTTCCTATTCAGTATTTTCAGTAGAAACTATAATTATGCTAATTTAAGACTATAATACACTGAAATTATAGTACTAAATCCTTAGGAAATATGGTTGATTTCTACATCTTTTAAAATTGATACTTTATTTAGCTTTGTTTTCTCAGGTTCATAGAGTTATTTTATAATAATTCCTACTTTTTTTCAAATGCAAAATACAATATGCGCTTTGTTTTAAAAAGAATAGTTTTATCTTGAGAAGAAAATGAACTTAGAGATGATAAATAGGAGCTTTTCAACTTATAAATATAGGATGTAAGAACTGTAGTTTTCATCCTAACATCTAGAAAACCAACAAGATACCATACACAAAGCTTAAATCCTTCTATGGTTATGCATTTATTTTCCCATCAGTTATGTTAATTCAGACACCTTAATGGAAGTGTCCATTTCTTCAATTTTTTATCACAAGAAACAATTTTAAGTCTCATTTGATATTTTAGTTTAAGCTTTTCCTGACTTATTAAATCTGAAAGAACTCAGATTAGAACTTTTAAATCAATATTTTTCTTAAGATCTTTATGTATCTAATACTTAAAGCAGTCTTATTCATAAATTGGCACACCAGTCCCAGAATGAGTGCATCTTTAAAACCATGTAGATTAGCCCTGGCCAGTTTGGCTCAGTGGTTGAGTGTCAGCCTGCAGACCAGAGAATCCTGGGTTCGGTTCCTGCTAGGGGCACATACCACACACACACACACAAAAATCAATAAAGTAAAACCATGTAGATTATAGTTGTCATGACTAAAGATATTTAGTCATTATAATACCAATGATTAGTAGTCAAGATTGTGCTACAGCCCCAAAGGAGGGAAACTGAATCTCATTTGAGAAACATGGTAGAATTCCAAAGGCACCAACCTACTATGTTAGGGGGATTCTGAATACTAAGTAATGTAATATCAGTTCTGGACAACTAAAAAAACTAAATGATCCTCCAAAAGGAAAACACATCCAGTATCATCCAGTATGCATTTATAATTGCTTATCAAAAGTTCTTGAGAAATTTTTAAGAAACTGACTTTACAGTAATAAAACTGTCACATCCTACTATTAGAAAGGAGAGTTATTTATATATACATACATATATATATATATATATATATATATATAAAAGACGAAGAAAGACAAATGCAATACAAGTTAAAACCAAATCAAATCTGTATCTTCTCTGGAGGAAGCAACTTTATGCAATATTACTGCAAATTATTAAAATTTTGGAAAATTTTTCCCAAAATTACAATAAATGAAAATATACCCAGGATATAATTGCTTAATTAGATAATGCATGATAAACTTTATCATAAGAGCACAATCACATACTGATGAAACGATGTTAGTAAGGGAGTTAACAAAAGTGACCAAAACAGTTATCTGCAGTATCCCTTTTCTTGATTTATTAATTTAGCAACTTTCACCGGTTATAAACTTTTATCAAATTTATTATATGTATATGTGCACTGGTAATATAACCCTTAAGTGTTTTGAATTAACTATTCAAAATAATTATACAAGACTGAGTTAGGTTTAATTTACTTTGAAAGTTTGCTATAATCACATTTCTTATCTGGTAAATATTTATTGTGGTACAAACTATACAAAAAACCCAATATACAGAAATACAATTTCATCCTATAGTATGTATTTTAATTCTTTTAGATAAAAATGCCTACATGTTTTATATCAGATCATTTAGATAACTGAGGCAGGGATTAAATTTTAAAAATCATACAACTTTCATGACATTAGTAAAGCCAATTTGACTAATAGCACTGATAAAAATAACCAATTTAATAGAAGTAAAACAGGACTTGAGAAATCAGAAAAAGAAACCAAAACCTAGAAACCCAATTAAATATACTTTGAATATATTCATTCTCATATGGATATATTTACACATAACCCAAAGTAAACTTTATGGTCTTTATTTTTCCATTATCTATAGCATAATAATTGATCAAAACAAAATCTATAGCATGTCTTTCATATGTAAAGTCATTAATATTCATTACCTGAGACTGAAGTAGCAGAAAAGGGATAGTGCATCTCTATACCATATAAAGCCTTGAATAAATACAAACCCTGATAAAAAGAAAGCAGCATGCCAGAGATCTCTGAAGACAGCGCCAACACTGTATGAGGTGCTTGTACCGTGGCTCTGAACTGTTCCCTCCTGTGAATTATCTGTGGTACTAGAACCATCTCCTTCCCTATGTACTTCCAAATGGGCTGCTTTTCTTAATTTCCTTCATCAGAAGAGATTAAGAATGGAAGGTAGCTTTAAAATTTTAACAACCAATTTTCTCAGTAGTCATGTTCAAAATTTTGGCAAACATAAAAACAGGAATTTTAATACACAATAAAATTCAGATTTACTGGATGAAAGTTAACCCAAACATAAAGTACATATTCAAGACCAATTTTTTATAAATGGTAAGGTACTGTTCCTTGCTTATACTCCCGGACAGTGGACATTAGGTTGTAAGGATCGCATTACAGAGATATTTACAAAAGCATTTCCTCCCTATTTGAATGCCTCTTATCTGCAAGTGAAGAAAAAAATTTAAATAAAAGAGAATTATAATCTAACTGATCAGCAATGCTATTTATCTTTTCAAAATGGAAAGGGCTTAAATCTCAGCATCCCCAAACTGTAAATATCACAATCTTTTACCAACAATATTCAAAAGAGAAATTGCTCCAAAAGACCCTTAAAACAGAACTGCGTTGTACTGAGTGGAAAGTGAGACTTGCTATGTTTACTTAATCTAGGGAGACAATATTAGCTTCCGATAGCATTTATTTATTTATTTATAATCCTCACCTGAGGACGTTTATTGATATTTCAGGGGGGTGGGGGCAGGAAAAGGAAGCGAGAGAGAGACATCGACTGGTTGGATTGGTTGCCTCTCATACGTGCCCCAACCAGGTATCAAACCCATAACCTAGGTGTGAGTCCTGACTGGGAATAAAACCAGAAACCTTTTGTTGTACGGACGACACTCCAACCAACTGGTCCACCCAGCCAAGGCTCAAGTAGCATTTAATAAATAGAATTTAACTAACAATTTTCTTGGCTCCTGTTTTTGTTAAAGCATCTTATAAGTAAATAAAATTTTAAATAGTGGGAATTATTAGCAACTCCAACTAACATATATTCCCTACAGTGAAATTAGGTGCCTAGAAATCAGCTTTAAGAAAGAAAACGAAAACAAAATCAAGTATGTGGTCTCAAAATGACCTTGAAGCAAATACAGAAAACAAAATCATTATTTGGTAGCTGATTCTGAAGCTCACTGCTTTATCTGAAAGAGTAACTTTACAAGATAATATATATTTTTTGAAACCAAGAACAATTCTAGATTCAAATTATAGAAATATACAGAAAAACATCACTTTTAAACAGACAGTACCTTCTTCTTTTACCCCCTGTACTTAGAGGCGGCTTGGGTGTTCTTGTTGAAACAATCTGGCAGTGTACAGTTCCCAGGAGCAGCATCAGCCATATGGGCCCAATCACTTCTGTCAGAGGTATGTTATGTGGGCTAGAAGCGGAACAAAACAATACTATTGCGGCAACTACAAAAAAAGGGAAAGAAAATACATTACAGATCTGACAGTCATTTCTTCAAAACTTTAAAAATTATTTTAACACTGCTTCTTGCCAGATTATTTTTCTAAATTTAAATACATTTAAATGTTTCTCCAAACAAGCTTTCAGACTGGCTAACCATGTTTGCTGTTCAGTAATAAACTCTTGGAACAAGATAATACCCGACATGGTCTCTAAAGTACGCACCTTAACATTACACTGAAAACTAGATGCACATGAATCTAAGGCCATTACTAGCAAGATCCCAGACAGTCAATAGAACCACATTAACCTCAAGTGCACTTATTTCTTTGTTTAACAAACATGGAAGTCTTTAAGTGTATAATAAGGCTATAGCAAACTTCTTTTCAATAGAGGTCTATCTACTTAGAATTAATGACATATATTTACTTGGTCAAACTTTTCAGGGAAACCACTCAACACCCATTATTGCTAACCATTGCCACATGAAAAATACATCTTGTTTTAGCTTGCTCAGCGTCCCTTAAGCCTTCTAGATATAAATTCTTTATCTTTTGGGAATCTGCTTCCTTCATCTGTCAATCAAATGGTCATATTTCTCTCACCTCAGGGACAAACCTGTAATCTAAGCTTGCCACAGTCCTAACTCTGGGCACAGTAATTAATAAAAACATGGGCATGTGCCCTAAGCAGGGCCAAACAGAATCTTTTACAGGGAGTAACAGGAGTGCTTGAAGGCCTTTCTCCTAGATAAAACACTAAGGACTATGAAAATAAAAAATTGCCAGGGGCACCTCAGCCATCATTCAAAAAAAGCTTTCCTAAGAATGAGACCAGCATAAGAAAAGCAGTATGGACAGCACAGACGGTGAAGACATCATCTAAGCCTCTAGATCCAGCAATGCTTGAATAAGGGACCGAAGAGTACTAATTCTTTTCAGGGACAATCGCGGAATTTGAGTATTAGGAGACCTCTGTTCATTTTGTTAGTTGTGAATATTGTAATGTGATTGTGTAATATTTTGAAGCAGTTCATAACTAATGCATTCAGAGGTAACAATTAATTTAATCAAAGAGATGAGCATATGGGTGTTCAAAGTGACTATGTAACTTATCATCTAAATCAGGACTCTTTGAAAGTGAGATGAGACCTGTTAATAAAAGCATGAGGACAACACAAGTAAACTTGGATAGTAAGATAGTACCAGGCAAACTGAATCTGGTTATTGCAGAAGTCTATCTAGTTTCCCGGTTTAAAAAAAAAACAACAAAAAACATTTATGATAAATAGCAAAAAAAATTTATTTTTATGAAAGCTGGTTTGCATTTGGTTTCTGCCACTTGCAAATGAAAGAATCCTGGCCTAGCATACCAAATTTTAAGCTTAAAACACCACATAATCTTCTAGATGTTTAAGAAGTATCATAAAACAAATTTCAGCTTTATATTCTCCTGGGCAGAAAGATTCTTTAAAAAGAAAAAAAAGACTTAAAATTTTAAAAATGCCAATCATCTTTAAGAATTATCCTGGAATTTGTTTTATAATAAAGTCTGGAATTTGGAAAAATATATAGAGTTTTTGTTGTTTTTAATATGAACTCCAATGTGTCCTTTATCTAGTTCCTTAAATTTTTGAGCCTTGGTTTATTCCTCTGTATAAAAATAGTACATAGCTACATAGGTTTCAAGTGGAGTACTACATGAAAAATTCCTTACATATAGATGTGTACCTAACATTGATAAATAGTACTTTTATTAGCTATTATTAACTATCTTTAAAATGGACGGGGATGTAAATATTCCCTAAGAGGTTCAGATTTTAGGCACAAAGAAGAACATCTTAAAGAACTCTAGATCTGAGATAACTTCTTGCTGGGTTATTCATCTTTCTGCCCTATGACCACCATTTTCTGTAATGCTAGGGCTGAGAACCTAAAAACCGTATTTTCTATCTCGAAAGGAGTTTTTTATATTCTGTGAAATTCTGCCAATGGACAACATTACAAAGTGGAAGAAGGCCCTGGCTGGAGTGACTCAGTTGGTCGGATGTCATCCCGTGCACCAAAGATTGCCAGTAATTCAAAATAAATTTTTTAAAAACTGCACAAACTGCATGTTCACTTCAGCATAAATTATAATAGCAAAAGACAGCAAAAGCTTAAATGCCCAATACTAATATAGAATAGACTATTTTCCAATAATTTAAAATTATATTTATAAAGACTCTGATACTTAAGACATAAGGTGAAAATAAAAATACAACTGTTTACACAGAATAATCTCAACTATATGAAAAATTTTACAAAGTAAACTTAAAGGCAAGATTATAGGTAATTTTTAGCTACATTTTCCAAATTTTCTGCAATGAACACACATCATTTCTTTAATCAGAAACACACACATACTCACACAATCACAAAATCTTCATAGTTCACTCCCTTTTATGTATATAAGATGTATCCTGGCTTAAAGGAAACAACTTTACCTAAATCGAAATCTGTAGTTTTTATTATATTTTAATTTACTTAAAGAAATTATCTTTTACTTAATAAAACATGTTTAAATAATCATTCAACATTAAAATCATGTTTTTTAAAAAGTAAGACATTAAAAAGACTGAAAGAATATTAACCAAATTAAAATCATTTCTTCGCTAGAGTGATGGAATATGAGTAGTTTCTAAGACTCCAAATGCTTTAGAGTGTTGTATATTATGCACTGCATACTGCTGCTAAGACTGCATACTAGAATGCTACTGTGGTGGGAGGCAGTGTAACGGCATTGTTACGCATGTGGCTCTGAGTTAGAGAATTTAAACCTGAACTTGGGCTCTACCACATTTGGTGATTGTGTGACTTTGGGCCCTCAGGTTCTTTTCCTCAGGATCCCATGTCTGTAAGCTAGGCATAATAATAGTACCTACACTTTACTAGGTACTTGTGAGAATTAAATAAGAATCTGTGTCGCCCAGCTGGTGTGGCTCAGTGGTTGAGCATCGACCCATGTACCAAGAGGTCACCGGTTCGATTACCGGTCAGAGCACCTGCCCAGGTTGTGGGCCCAATCTCCAGTGGGGAGCATGCAGGAGGCGGCCAATCGATGTTCTCTCTCATCGATGTTTCTATCTCTCCTTTCCTCTCTCTCTAAAACTCAATAAAGAAAAAATTTTTTTTAAAAAAGATCTGTGAGCCCTGGCCGGTTTGGCTCAGCGGTTGGAGCGTCGGCCTGCGGTCCTGAGAGACCCGGGTTCGGTTCCCGCTAGGGGCACGTACCTCGGTTGCAGTTTGTCCCCGGCCCTGGTTGGTCGTGCGGGTGGCAGCCACTCGATGTGTCCCTTCACGTCGATGTTTCTCTCTCCTCTCTCTTCTTCTCTCTCCCTCCCACTCTATCTGAACAAAAAATGGAATAAACAGGCATCCTCGGGTGAGGATAAAAAAAAAAAAAAGATCTGTGAAAAGCACAACAATGCATGGTATACAGAATTTCAGTACACAATAAGGACAGTCTCAGACCACAATGGTTAAAAGAAAAAATAAACCCTGGCTGAGGCAGGAAAATAAACTTGTATATAAAAAAATGACTGGTGTGGTATGTATATGTGGGGGTGCATTTTGGAGAGACTTCCTAATTTTTAAAAATCTTCTCAATTTATATTTTTCTCTAACCAGCCACAGATTTAGATTTTCACAAAAGTATATTGGAAAATAATTGCTTTGTTTTCTCAAGCATTTTAAATGTCAAGCCAGTGTCTTATTAAATAAAATATCACAATAAATATTCACCTTCATATTCAGTAGTACTACATGTTTTTTTTTTTTAAGCCTTGGTAACCCTAAAAATGTAATAGCCTAAAAGTTAAAAGCAAAATGCTATTTTTATCATTTAACTGTACCTTGAAGAAGATAAAGAACAAGAAGCCAGAAAAAGATGACTTTTGATGTTACTTGTAACCACCACCGGAAGAAAAAGGGAAAAAATACAACTCGAACAATCCCCTTTCTAGTCAGAGAAGTCCAAGGACTTTCAGGTTTTGCCTTAGCAAATGCAGACCCTGAGAAAAGTAAAATAAAATAAAATGACAGAGTACATTTATTGGTTTTTAATTTCCTTAGAGAAAAAATGTCAACATTTGAAGAAAAACAAAATGCATATAATTTTATTTAGTACTATGCTATGAATGAGAAATGTCCAATTTTGGGTAGTAGATACTTTAAAAACATTCTTCATGCTATCATAGTAACTCAGATTCTTTAAAAAAAATTTCTTAACTAAAATAACAGCAGAATTTCTCCCACATATTTTATAAATATATGACAATATTCAAATGTCAGTTCCAGTTAGAATTTTAAATTACCATTTTAACCCCTTAAACTAATGTAATATGATATGTTAACTATAATTTAAAAATAAAATTTTAAAAATGTTACCACTTTAATTTTTATAACCAAGCTTTACAGTTTGCTAAGCAAACATGAGCTGCTTTTCTTTTGTACTTACTTCTTGGAATGATCTTTAGTGGAAGGAAAAGACTAGTCAATGGTATTTAAATGTTTCCATTCTGTTTTTTTAAGCAATTTCTGCCTTCATTTAAGCTCACATTACTTGTACTTCTACAAACATATATATCTAACCCCTTTTGAACTGTTTCTTCAAGATCAATTTTTAATTGCATTAAGCATTTATTTATCCAAGGCTCACCTCTTACAAGATCAACATCTATGAGGTCTGGTTTCACATGTGCTGTTTTCTTTGGTTTATTCCTTAAACCCTGTAAAAGTATTGGTGAGAATGTAGATAGATCTTAAAGTCCTCATCACAAGAAAAAAATCTGTAACTATGTATGGAGACAAATGTTAACTAGACTTATTGTGATCGTTTCTCAATATATACAAATATCGAATCATTATGTTGTACACCTGAAACTAATATAATGTTATGTTAATTATACTTTAATAACAAAGTAGTATTGGAATTCTATATATATATTTAAATCCAGAAGAACAGAAGAAACCATCTAAATATTTCAATTAAGAAAATGAAGTAATATACCAGACAAAAATGTAACATCATATATTTATTATAAATGGAACATAAGTATAGTATTGTAACACATTTTATTACTTTCCAAAAAGTTAAATTTAGGATGTATGTAACATGTGATGCCTGTTTATTACTAAAAGTAAAATTCTTAAACAAAGACTACTGCTACCAATCAATTGGATGAATAGCCTGAGATGGTCCAGGAGACTGTGTTGACCCAGATTTGCACAGGAGAGTGTTGTGGCTGGCTGGGGGAGCAGTGGCTCTAAAGGGCCTTCAAGGTGTGATGCTGTGGCATTACTGAAGAAAGCAGTGGAGCACAGAGCTGAGAACAGACAGAGATGCAGACTTCTCAGCAAATGCCAGCACGTAGGGGTGGTGTAAGCTGAGACCCAGAGAGAATGATGCATAGCTCAAGAGTGCCACTATGTTCACATGCGTAACCAGACCACAATGCCACCTAATCACCTCAGAACTTAGAGGCCATGCCCGATAGTTGGAAGAGGAGAAAGCAGGAATCACGAATTGAATTAGTTTTAAAACTTGAAATTACTAAACACTAAGATTAAGTTTCTGCCATCGGTGTACAGAAATGGGAGTAAGGGTGGAGGAGATCAAAATATTTTTAAAAACTATAAAAAAATAAATTACACTTTATAACTTAAGTCTAGGATGTTAAGAATTGGAAGAGCTTAGGTTAAACTCCTCAGGAGCCAAGTACTAAGAGATGACAGTGTTTAGATGATTTGTTGATTATTCATTCAATTAACCAACTAACTATTCAGTGCTTTGTTTGGTCCTAATGCAATAACTAACAATGACCATCTAAAAGTAAAAGTATTTTTTGCATCTAAAGCAAAGAGGACAGCATTTGAGCTCAGAATTAACTGAGATGTTTAAACCAAAAATGTACCCTGAAATCAAGATGCAATTAACCTTTATTAAAATTTTTTTTTTCTTTACTGATTTTAGAGAGAGAGAAAGAGAGAGGGAGAGAGAGAAAGAAACATCGATGAGAGAGAACATCAACTGGGTGCCTCCTGCATGCCCCCCTTGGGGGACTGGGCTCACAGCTTGGGCATGTGCCCTGACCAGGAATCGAACTGGTGACCTCCCGGTGGACTGATGCTCAACCACTGAGCCACACCAGCCGGGCTGCAATTAACCTTTGAACCCCTGCAAATAGTCTGTCCCTCTAAAGTTACAAACAACCGAGAGATACACAGATACAAAAACAAAAGAGAAAGAAAGGGTCAGTGTTGAAGATATATCCATGATAATTTTATAGACAAATGATTTTCATATTCATAGATTTAATATTTACAAATTCACCTACTCACTAAAATTTATTTTTATCCTAAAATCAATACTTGCTGTGCTTCTGCAGTTGTTTGCAGACATGTTCAGAGTGACAGTGGCAAAATATTTGAGTTACCCAAGGTGCACATTCCCAGCTGAGGTCAAACAAGACAATGCTCTGACTTCTTCTTTCAGCTCTCAATATAACTAAGTGTCCTTTTCATAGTCTATTCATTGCTATACACTTTTTTTAAAAAGTGCTTTTTGTTGGTAAGTCTGTTGTTTAAAATGGCCCCCAAGCAAAGTGCTAAAGTACTTGTCTAGTGCTTCTAAGTGCAAGAAAACTGTGATGTGTCTCTGAGAAAATGTGTGTTAGGTAAGCTTTGTTCAGGCATAATTATAGTGTTGTGGGCCACGAGTTCAATGTTAACAAAATCAACAATACATATTAAATAAGGTTTTTTCCAACAGAAACAAGGTTATGTTTTGATCAATTGATGAAGGGTAGTGACTAGAGGCTTGCAGGAACTTAACTCTGTATTTCACCTAGGAGCAATGGTCAGTATTCGCTAATTCAGTGTTCATGGTGACTTTAGAGAAAATAACTACTGTGAATAATAAGAATCAACTATATCTGTACTTCATTTCTCATTTTAATTTCATGAAACAATGGCTGACAGAGACTATAAAAAGAATTAGAAAGGTAATTCTAATAATGCATACATTTAACAAAATTTCATTAATAGAGTACTATTTAGATTTGGTATGACATTTATTATGAGATTTTACCTTTATTAGTGCCCACAAATTTGAAAACAGTAACATTTTGTCTTTTATACATTCTTTTAAGAATACAGTAAATCCTCGATAAAGTGGACTAATTCAGGAGAGGAGGAGTCCATTAAAGCTGGAAGTTCATTATATAATAAAGTAGATTTTCTGAATGTATATGTTAAAAATTGACAAATTAGTTAGTTTACCTATTTTTACTTATGTGGACACATTTGTGTAATTAAAATTAGGTATGTATGAAAATATTAATTTCACAGAAAAGTTTTCTATATGTATTACTATAATTTTAAATTTATACTGAAAAGGTCTAGTAAATGAATGCATTCACCAGTCATCATAAGTAAACAATGCACACAGCTAGGGTATGACTTAGCACATGTTGAACATGGGCTGGCATGCATTAAAACTTCTGCAGAAAGTCACACCACTTGACAACAGAACCAATTACTGTGCATGATGCAGTGTGATCACATGCTCATCATTCAAGGAATGTTTACAAGCAGTGACTCTTAGATTTAAATATGTAATATTTATTTATGTTGGTGAAATTACCAGAGTGTTTTTTGCAAACATATGACCCATTTGCTAAAATGTGTTAAAAATAACAGTGAATTAGTAACAAAAAATAACCTATTAATTTAATTATAAGCAAATCTTGGTTTAAAGCATTTTAAAATTAACAGGGTATTAATTTTCACATATGGACTGCAAATTTTGTCTGTTAAATTGAGGTCCACAAAATAGAAGATTTACTGTAATTTGAAAATAACTTTATAGACAATGTTTTATGACTAATCTAGAACTTAATTTACTGCTGTGTACCTATCATTTTTATCAAGATTGTTTTAAGAATTTAAAGCCTTACAAAGGGAATAGTAAATTATCCTGAGTTATACAATTATGTAATTTTTCACCATGTTCGGGCAACTTGACCTTTTTATATGTAGTTCAGTTTCAATTTTATATTTCATTAAAGAATTTATTTTGAGTTACATTGTGGTCACAACAAATTACCAGTGTAGATAAAACTTCCTCTTCAAGGTAGCCTATCAGAATATTTTGAGGGTTTAAAAGAAAGAAAAGAAAAATTACACAGATAAATCTTCTGACATTAATGATTTTGTTCACAAAAATAAAAGATATCACCAAGATGCGAGCATTCATAAAATTTGATTTTAATTAAGCATATATTTTAAGTTGGAAAATTTAAAATTTATTTTGTACATTCATACAAAATAGCAGAGCTTTCAATACTAACTATAATTATGGACACTCAAAAATTTTAAGTGGTGCCCTGGCCAGTTTTTCTCAATGGTTAGAGCATCAGCCTTCAGACCAGAGTCTCAGGTTCGATTCTCAGTCAAGGGCATGTACCTGGGTTGCAGGTTCGATCCCTAGCCCCAGCCGGGGTTGTGAGGGAGGCAACCAATTGGTGTCTCTCTCACTTCAATGTCTCTCTAAAAATCAGTGGAAAAATATCCTCGGGTGAGGATTAACAACAACAACAAAAATTTAAGTGGTGAAAACAGACTTTTGGTGGTGAGCATGCTATAGTGTATATAGATATCGAATTATGTTGTACACCAGAAACTTATAAAATGTTATTAACCAATGTTACTTCAATAAAAATAAAATACAACAAAAAAGTTTAAGTGAACAAAAAATAAAAGCTAAGTTAGTTAAAAAAGATTTAAAAAATTACTAATTTAACTAGAAAGTAGAAACAATCAATACGAACACAATCTCTAAGAATTCAAATAGTATATTCTTTATTGAATATACATTTAAATTTCTATAGTACATTCCTCAAGTGCAATGACACAAATTGTATGAAGTATTGAATTTTTTTCTTCTTCTTTTTTTTTATACTTACCTGAGGACTTTTTTCCCATTTTTGTTCAGATAGAGTGGGAGGGAGAGAGAGAAAGAGAGAAACATCGACGTGAAAGGGACACATCGAGTGGCTGCCTCCTGCATGACCCCAACTAGGGCCGGGGATGAATCGCAACTGAAGTATGTGCCCTTGGCCGGCATCAAACCCGCAACTCATCAGTCCAACAGCTGAGCCAAATTTTTTAAAAATGGTAAGTACACAGATAATGTTGAGCCAAAAAAACTTAAAAGGGTTAAGTTTAGAAAATACTTCTGTTCAATGACACAGACTTCCATGCACAGAACTATTATAACACTTAGATTCCATTAAAGAATGTAACAATCAGCCCTGGCGGGTTTGGCTCAGCAGTTAGAGTGTCAGACTGCGGTCCAGAGAGACCCGGGTTCAGTTCCGCTGAGGGCCCGTATCTCGGTTGCGGTTTGTCCCCGGCCCTGGTTGGGTTGTGCAGGTAGCAACAACTCGATGTGTCCCTTTCACGTTGATGTTTCTCTCTCTCTCTCTCTCTCTCTCTCTCCCTCCCACTCTATCTGAACAAAATATTGAAAAATGTCCTCAAGTGAGGATAAAAAAAAAAAAAAAAAGAATGCAACGATCAGTTTCATTTTCTGGAAATCCTGTTTAGTTTCTTCTTTCCCATTTTTCCTCTATAATGACTTTAAATAGTCTAGCTCTTTTTGTTGAAGTTTTAAAACCCATTAGGTGCTAAACCAAGGGGGAAATTCCACATTTAATTTTAAAATTGGGTCAAGGTATTTTAAGAAAAAAATAATTTACAACTAACAAAAGACTTAACACTTTAGCAATAAAAACTCTTGGCCTTTAATTTTAAAAAAATAATTACTTCCAAGAAATATAATTCCATGGCTTTCTTTGATTTCTTTAGTTGTTGCTTGCTGCTCTGACATATGAGCAAATTGATAACAAGGATGAACTCAATACATTTGGTACAGTGTTCTCTGCACCACAGGTACAGTGTTTTGTTTTTATAAATCAAATATTAATACTAATACTCCAGTTATGCAGTTGTTCACCTTTCTTAGAACAAATGTAAAATTATCTAATACTCTATGCCTCCACTGGAATGTTTAGCAAGAATGGTTTTTATGGCCCAGCCAGTATGGCTCAGTGGTTGAGCATAGATCCATGCACCAAGAAGTCACTGGTTCGATTCCCAGTCAGGGCACATGCCCAGGTTGTGGGCCCGATCCCCAGTGGGGGCATGTAGGAGGTGGCCAATCGATGTTCTCTCTCATCGATGTTTCTATCTCTTTCTCCCTTCTCCCTTTCTCTCTCTTTAAAGTCAATAAAAATTTTTTTTAAAAGCATGGTTTTATGTATGCCCTGGCTGGTGTGGCTCAGTTGGTTGGAGCATTGTTGGTACAGGGAAAGGTCACGGGTTTGATTTCCAGTTAGGGCACATATACAAGTTGTGGGTTCGGTCCCCAGTCAGGGTGCGTGTGCGGGGCAACCAATTGATGTGTTGATATTTCTCTCTCTCTTTCTCCCCTCCCTCCTCTCTCTCTAAAAATCAATAAAAAGCATGTCCTCAGATGAAGATGGGGGAAAAAAAAAGTTTTAGGCCTGTCAGCACAGTGACTGTTTTAATTTAAAATAATATTTTAATTCTTCAATTACCATTATAAAGTATTATCATAAAAGGTAGATATATTTGAGAAACAAGTTTCAGGTCTTAGACTTCCCTAATTTCATTCTGTCCATGCACCAAGAAACAACTAATATAATCCTTCCTCATCCTAACTTCCATTTAGGCATTACAACAGTTCTTTTAAAAATGAGGAAATTACAGGAACTGGGGTGAGGTGAGGAGAGCCCTTCATCCTGGGAAACCAGTGTGGCTGGAAAGCGCCCCCCCAACCCGACACACAGAGTTTGTGGGGAACCTGGTGAAACCATTCCTAGACTACCTGCTTTCTGGGTAGGAGTTTCATAGGTAGCAGAGCAGTTCCCTTGCTGAGATCTATTGAAATTCAACCCTTGACACAAGGGGTTGAAAAATAAACAAATAAAATAAAATAAAAATGAGGAAATTACATAACATGTAATTTGTGATAAGTGGCTTAAAACTAAAATAATTATTAATATATATATTTTCTGAGATTTTCAAATTTCATAAAACATTCAAATGTGCCAACTGGCAACACAGCCTCTCAAAATACTTAACATTCCTTGTCCAACAAGGTAAAGACTGTCAAAAAGAATAAAATATTTTAAGGCATTTTATTAGACCTCTCCGCTGCTCTTTCTTTTTTATTTAATTAATTTATTTATTTTTGTTACAGATGTTTCTCCTTTCCCCCCCACTGATTCCCTCCTCCCCATCCCTCCCCACCCTGTCCCCAGCTTTGTTGTCCATGTCCATTGTTCATGTACACATGCATATAAGTTCTGTGGTTTATCTCTCCCCCACCACCCCCTCTCCTGGGGATTGTCAGTCTGTACCTCACTTCCACATCTCTGGGACTACCCCATTCCTCCAACTGTTATGTTCATTCTATTCCACAAATAAGTGAGATCGTATGATACTTGTCTTTCTCTGTTTGGCTTGTTTCACTTAGGATAACACTTTCCAGGTCCCTCCATGTCGTCTCAAATGATAAGAGATCTTTCTTTCTCACAGATGCATAGTTCTCCACTGTGTATGTGTACCACTCTGCTGCTCTTTTTTTACTTGCTTGACTACTCCAACTCTTGACTATTTCAACTCACCAGACTACTGTCTCATGGACCTCCTACTTCTCTTTTCTCCTTCATTTACACCTCCTCTTCCTTTAGCTACCCATTAAATATTTATGTTTCCTAATATTCCGTTCTCAGTTTTCTTCTTTTGTCATTCAATGTAAATCCATTCACTCCTATAGCTGTTATCTACATGTGTAGAATAATATAATATATATAACACATACATATATACTTTACATACTGAGGACTCCTAAATCTGTCAACAATGTACCACTGGGATATTTCTAAAACAAAATTCATTATTTGCTTCTCTTCTAGTATTTGCCATGACACTTAGTAAAGTTGTAAAAATATAAATTTAATCAGAAAAACTTTTCTGCTTAAAATCCTTGAATGTCTTCCTCCACTGTTTTCCAAATTACTTCTAGACTCTTGTGTAAGGTAGTCAAGCCCCTTCATGATGTGACTATCATTTTCATTTCTAGTTTTACTTCTAGCTACCCTATCTCCCTTCTCCATCTAACCTATTACCAATCAAGCTCCTTGAGAAGTCATGTTCCTTCCTTCCTTTATATATATTTTCATATGCTCTTCATTCTGTCTGGAATGATTTCCTCATTCTCCCCAATGTCTCCCAAATTTAGCTCCTGAGTCACTTCCTTTGTGAAATTTTTCCTAACCTCTGAAGAGCTGCTTCCCGCTGAGCTCTCAAAAAGAGGACTACACATCATTGTCTTAACTGGATTAGTCTCATTTGTAATTATGTATCTCATCTACAAAATTATAATCTACTTCATTATTTTGTTCCTATGATTTAATCCTATATTTAAAATATAGTAGGTACTTACTGAACTTTGTTAACTGTATTAATGCCTCATGAAAATGAGAAAAATTAAAATTAACAAATGGCAAAGAAACTTGCTCTTGATTATAGATGACTAAGTTGTCTAAACACAGATTTTCTTTTTGGACAGATTTTTAAGTTAACTAGAGACACTGGTTTTCAATATAATATAAGCCTTTCTGTACAAAATAGAAAATGTCAAGCAACTCAAGTAACATTCTCTGGGCCCAGATTAAATTTAGCTCGTGCAGGACCACACTGATTAGTATTACCTAGGTAAATGAAAAACATATCTTATTACCAAAAAGGAATGATTGCTGAGAAATAATAAATTTAGTTTGAAAATAGTTTTCATGCTGGCAAGTTAGCCTATGAAAATGTCTTATCAGCATGTGATTACATGTTCAAGAAGAAACTACCTACCACAACAACATTTTAATTAATGCTTTATTTTCCTAAAATCTTTTTTAAAATGACTAAATTCTCAGCAGCTCTATTTGCATCCAAGTCATTCTGTTAGTAGCATGAAAAAGCAGATCTCAATTAAAAAAGAAGCATTTGCAGAGAATCACTCGGGTGGGAAAATTCCTGAAACACTTACCAGTTTAATAAACTGTACAGAGCAATGACAGCATCAAAAGGGAGGAAAAGCAAACTAGAAGTATAAGGTGACAAGTGAAAGGGAAAAAGAGCTAACAAAAAATAATCATTAAAAATTAAATTTTAAAGGAACAGAAATATGCTAAAAAGCAAAAAGAAAATCAGAGGTAAAGACACATAGAACTATGCTATCATAAAAGAATTTACCTTCTTTACTTAAAAGTTTGGATAGAATAATATTAATTTATACCTTAAAAGTATATGGAAAGATATTATATAAAATTTGGTTAATAGTCAATTTACAGAACTTTATTTCAGTATATACAAAATGAAATAAACACATTACCTTGATTTCTCTTTGTTCAACAGATTTTTCCCATATTTGTTGATCATACGCTCCAATCTATGAAAATAAATAAAAGATAACACTACATTAAATGATCACTGTGGGTACCCATACTATGGGTGTTAATTGTCTGCATTACAAGAAACTCAGCATTCATTCAGCACAGGTAAGCTTCAGCTCTGTCCCAGACTTCTGTGACCATTACTATACTGCAGTAATTCTCAAAATATAGTTTCAGGGGCAGTTTTAGCATCATCTGGAAACTTGTTAGAAATGCAAACTCTCTTCCTAGAAACATACAGTCTTCCAAAACTGAATAAAAAAGAACCAGAAAATATAAACAGACTATTTACAACTCATGAAATAGAAGTAGTAATCAAAACACTCCTAACAAACAAAAGTCCTGGAGTAAATGGCTTCACAGGTGAATTTTATCAAAAATTCAAAGAAGAGCCCTGGCCGGTTTGGCTCAGCGGTTGGAGTGTTGGCCTGCGGACCAGAGAGGCCCTTGGGTTCCCGCTAAGGGCACGTACCTCGGTTGCGATTTGTCCCTGGCCCCATTTGGGGTTGTGTGGGTAGTGGCCGCTCAGTGTGTCTCTCTCACTTCGATGTTTCTCTCTCTCTTCCTCCCTCTCTCCCTCCTGCTCTATCTCAAGATAAATGCAAAAATGTCCTCGGGTGAGGATAAAAAAAAAAAAATTCAAAGAAGAACTAACACCTATCCTTCCCAAACGATCTAAAAAAGTTCAAGGGAAGACTCTCAAAGTCATTTTATGAGGTCAGCATTATCCTAATTCCAAAATCAGATTAAAGACACTATAAAAAAAGAATATTATAGGCCAACATCCCTGATGAACATAGACGCAAACATCCTCAACAAAATATTAGCAAATCAAATCCAGCGATACATTATATAGATTGATTATACAGCATGATCAAGTGGGAGTTGGTTATTCCTGGGATGCCAGGTTAGTATAATATCTGCAAAGCAATTAACTTGATATACCACATAAACAAAATAAAAGATAAAAATCATATGATCATATCAATAGATGTAGAAAAAGCATTTGACAAAATTCAGCACCTATTTATGATAAAAACTCAGCAAAGTGGGAGTAGAGGGAACATATCTCAACATAAAAAAGGCCAGATATGACAAACCCCCTGCCAACATCATACGCAATGGGCAAAAACTAAAAGCATTTCCCTTAAGATCAGGAAAAAGATAGAGATGTTCACTTTCACCACTCTTATTCAACATAGTACTGGAAGTCCTAGCTATAGTGATCAAACAAAACAAAATAAAAGGCATCCACATTGGAAAGGAAGAAGTAAAGCTGTCATTATTTGCATATGACATGATAATGTATATAAAGAACCCTACAGATTTCAGCAACTGATTCTAGAACTGATAAATGAATTCAGTAAAGTAGCAGGATACAAAATTAATATTAAAAAATCAGTTGCATTTTTATACACCAAAAATGAACTACCAGAAAGGGAAACTAAGAAACAATCCCATTTACAATTACATAAAAAAGAAAAAACCACCTAGTAATAAATTTAACCAAAGATGTAAAAGACCTGTACTCAGAAGATTATGAGACTTGAAGAAATAATCGAAGAAGATACTAAGAAATAGAAGCATATACTGTGTTCATGAAAGAATTAACATCATTAAAATGTCCATTCTATCCAAAGAAATCTATAGGTTCAAAACTATTCCTATAAAAAAAACGTTGTATTTCACAGAACTGGAATAAATCATTCAAAAATTTGTATGGAAACACAAAAGACCCCATGGAAATCTTTAAAAAGGAGAACAAATGAAACGTATCACCCTACCTAATATTAAACTATACTGAAGGCCATAGTATCAAAAGAGCATGGTACTGGCATAAAAAAAGACACACAGATCAATGGAACAAAACAGAGAGCCCAGAAATAAACCCATGCCTATCTGGTCAATTAATCCATGACAAAGGACAAGAACATACAATAGGGTAAAGACAGTCTATTCAATAAATGGTGTTGGAGAAATTAGACAGATACATGCAAAGAAAAAAAGAAAAGAAATTAGACCACCTTCTTACACCACATACAAGAATAAATTCAAAATGGATTACAGACTTAAATGTAAGTCACAAAACCATAAAACTCCTAGAAGAAAATATAGGCAGTAAACTCTTTGACATCAATCTCAGAAATACATATTTTTTAAAATATCTCCTCAGGCAAAGGCAACAAAACCAAAAATAAATAAATGGGACTATATCAAACTAAAAAGCTTTTACACAGCAAAGAAAACCATCAACGAAATGAAAAAATCAACCTACTGAATGGGAGAAGATATTTGCAAATAATAATACAATAAGGGGTTAACATGTAAAATATGTGAAGAACTCATAAAATTCAATATCAAAAAAACAAGCAATCCAATTAAAAAGTAGACAGAAGACCTGAATAGACACTTCTTCAAGGAAGACATATGGATGGTCAACAGATTTATGAAAAGTTGCTCGATATCACTAATCATCAGAGAAGTACAATTCAAAACCACAATGAGATAGATACCACCTTACATTTGTGAGAATGGCTATCATCAGAACTGGAATAAATCATTCAAAAATTTGTATGGAAACACAAAAGACCCCAAACAGCTACGGAAATCTTTAAAAAGGAGAACAAATGGGACGTATCACCCTAACTAATATTAAACTATACTGAATCAACAAACAACAAGTGTTGTCGAGGATGTGGAGAAAAGGTAACCCTAGTGCACTGTTGGTAGAAATGCAGACTAGTGAAACCACTATGGAAAACAGTGTGGAGATTCTTCAAAAAAAGAAAATTGGAATTGCCTGATGACCCAGCATTTCCATGTCTGGGGATTTTTCTGAAGAAATCTGAAATACTAATTTGAAAGAATATATGCACCTCTATGTTCACTGCAGCATTGTTTACAATAGCCAAATGATTTGGAAGCAACCCAAGTGCTCATCAGTAGATGAGTGGATAAAAAAAGCTATGGTACATATAAACAATGGAATACTACTCAGTTATAAAAAAGAACAAAATCTTACCATTTGTGACAGCATAGATGGACCTAGAGGGTTATTATGCTAAGTGAAAGAAGTCAGACAGAGAAAGACAAATACCATATGATTTCAGTCATATGTGGAATCTAAAAAAACAAAATAAACAGCAAAATAGAAACAGATGCATAGATACAGAGTACAGACTGACAGTTGACAGAGGGAAGGGGGTTGGGGAGCTGTGTGAGAAAGGTTAAGGGATTGAGAAGTACAAATTGGTAGTTACAGAAGACGTAAATAGTCACAGAGATGTAAACTGCAGCATAGGAAATACAGCCAATAATACCGTAATAACTATACATGGGGCCAGGTGGATAAGTTGAAATATCACAGAGACCACTCTGTAAAATACATGATTTTCTAACCACTAGGCTCTACAGCTGAAACTAATATAGAATAATATTGAATGTAAACTGTAATTGAAAAATTTTTCAAATGGCAGGTGGGGAAAAAAAGCAAACTCTCTGGCATCACCCCAGAGTTACTGAATCAGAAAAACAGTGTAGCACACAACAAACCACGTTTTACAAACCTCTCTAGATCAGTGATTCTCAACCTGTGGGTCGCGACCCCTTTGGGGGTCGAACAACTCTTTCACAGGGGTCACCTAAGACCATCAGAAAACACATATTTCCAATGGTCTTAGGGACCAAGACACCGTTCCTCTATCCATCTCCAGGCGGGTCCGCCCACATGCAGATATGCCCACATACAGATATGCCCACATTTGAGTACCCAGCATGATGACATCATCGCGCCAACCCCATCACATACACCCTGTACAAATACAGGTATATGTGACAGGGTTGGTACCATAATGTACTTATATGGACCAGTCACACATGTGCAGAGAGCAGCTACTGTGGAGAAAGTAGCTACTCTGTTAAAAGCAGCTACTGTGTTGAAAGCAGCGATACTGGAGATAAAACGACACTTCATGAATTATAATTACTGGGTAAATGTAAAATCATGTACTCTAAAATCATCAACTACTGCAAAAAAAAATATCTGTACCATGGGAACTTAATCTGGATGCTGATCGGTCTTTTTATATTCAGCTGTGGTTGATGTGAATACTGCCCCCTTGTGATAGTAACAGGTATGTGAAAAAAAAAAACACAGAGAATGGTAAATCATAGGAAACTTTAATGAACTGTATTGACTAAACTATGCAACGTATCATCTTTTGTATTATTAAAGCTATTGTTATATATTATTTTCATTAGCAAACCATCCCATGCAATGGATGGTGAAGAGAAGAACATTAAGAAAAGAAAATATAGTGAGAATTTTTTACAGTATGGTTTCATCTCAACAATTACAGCAGGAACTGAGAAACCGCAATGTGCTATTTGTTGTGAAGTTCTATCAGCCAAATCTATGAAGCTGAACAAACTAAAACACCATTTTGATAGCAAGCATCTGAGCTTTGCTGGCAAGGATACCAACTATTTTAAAAGCAAAGCTGATGGACTCAAGAAAGCCAGACTTGATACTGGGGGCAAGTACCACAAACAAAACATAGCAGCCGTTGAAGCTTCATATTTGGTGGCACTCAGAATCACCAGAGTTATGAACTCTCACACCATTACTGAGGATTTACTGTTGCCAGTGGTCAAAGACATTGCTCGAGTTACAATCGGAGATGAAGTTGTTATGAAATTGAGTGCAATTTCCTTATCTAATGACACTGTCTGCAGAAGAATAGATGACATGTCTGCTCATATTCTTGATCAGGTAATCCAGAAAATTAAATCTGCTCCACTTCCAATATTTAGCATCCAGCTTGATGAATCTACAGATGTTACAAACTGTTCACAGTTACTGGTTTACGTGAGGTACATTAATGAAAGCAACTTTAAAAATGAGTTTCTTTTTCGCAAACCTCTTGAAACAACAACTACTGCACATGATGTATTTGACACAGTTGGTTCATTTCTGAAAGAGCGTAAGATCTCTTGG